TGCCATGGCAGGGACACCTTCCACCAGCCCAGGTTGCTCCAAGCCCCGTCCAACCTGGCCTTGGACACTTCCAGGGATCCAGGGGCAGCCACAGCTTCTCTGCCCAACCTGTGCCAGGGCCTCCCCACTCTCACAGCCAAGAATTCCTTCCAATATTCCACCTAACCCTTCCCTCTGGCAGTGGGAAGCCATTCCCTGTGTCCTGTCCCTCCATCCCTTGTCCCAAGTCTCTCTCCAGCTCTCCTGGAGCCCCTTTAGGCTCTGGAAGGGGCTCTCAGGTCTCCCTGGAGCCTTCTCTTCTCCAGGCTGATCAAACAACATTGTAATGAATCATTTATTTATTTATAATTCCCCTTTATTTATAATTCTAACAATTTCCCCTCTCTTTATACCTACCTGACAAGGACATCAAGGTGTTGTTGATAACATACAGCCAGGTGCATTTTCGGGGAAATAACTGATAAAAGAAAACATTTCCATTAATAGAAACACACAGGAATTTCCAACCATCATTTCTCTGCCTGCTCCACCTCCACCACCATTCCTGCAGGGATCCACACTGGAGAAAGTCCCAGCTTCCCTTTAATTGCCTGGTTTGGACCCTCTGTGTTTTTTGGGATGTACCTGCCTGGCTATCTGTGTTAAGAGGCTGCTCTGTGCACAGACAGACCGTGGAAGATTGGGACTGAATTTTGTCCCAGTGGGAAGAAGTTACTCACAGGGCAGCTGCTCTGGATTTGAGGAGATTTTAAAGTTAAGAACGAACTCCTGAAAAGGGAATGGTGATAAAAGTGATGGCAAACAATGGCCTTCAGGAGTCCCACAAAAGAAGGGATGAGGATGACAGGAGAAGGGCAGAGGTTTTGTTGTAGAAATTTCTGATAAGAAAAAAAAGGACTTCAAATGATTAAGCTGTTTTGAAAAGAAAAAAGCCCCTTCCAGGGCCTAAAGGGGCTCCAGGAGAGCTGGAGAGGGACTTGGGACAAGGGATGGAGGGACAGGACAACCAGGAATGGCTTCCTACTGTCAGAGAGCAGGAATAGATGGGATATTGGGAAAGAATTTTTGGCTGTGAGGGCAGTGAGGCCCTGGCCCAGGTTGCCCAGAGAAGCTGTGGCTGCCCCTGGATCCCTGGAAATGTCCAAGGCCAGGCTGGATGGGGCTTGGAGCAACCTGGGCTGGTGGGAGGTGTCCCTGCCCATGGCAGGAGGTGGAATGAGATGATCTTCCAAATCCTTTCCAACCCAAACCATTCCATGATTCTGTGATATGATTCCATAACACAGGCTTTGTCCTCTGTGCCACTTCCACAAGCAAAATAAGAAAATATGTGGTAGAAGAATCTCAGAAAGAAAAGGTACAACTGGCTGGACATAAAGTATCTCTCAGCAATTTGCTATTTAATAGAATAGGTCTGGGTCTATTCAGTATTTTCACTGAAAAACTACAAATGGAATAAAAATATACTTCTGGAATTGGGAGATATTAACCTTGGAGAGACAGCCAAGCACTTTGGAGGATACAATTACAATTAGAAGTTGAACAAGCAGTTCAAAATGTTCATTTGGAGGGGAGAAAACGAAATGAATAAATGAAAATGTGGAAACAAGTGGTGTGGCAGAAGCCTCTGGGGTCTGAGGTGGGTCACACCTGAGCTCTGCCAGCTGGGAATGCTCTCATGGAAAAGGAAACTTTCATTTTGGGATGCACTGAATGGTCTCCCTCCCCACCACTGGCACAGCCAAAACCTTTCAAGGTGATATAAAAAAGCATGTGGAAGAGCCCAGAGAAGACTGTTAGGTGAAATAAATTAGGAAAGCATATATGGAAAGAGATTCCAAGAACATTCTGCTACTCCTGACCCTAAAGAAGCAAATTTAACCCAATGAATAGATGAAGTGGCTTTGGAAAGGGTCAGAGAGCCCAGGAGAAGTTTACTGGGGATAACAACAGCAGCTGAAGTGAATGGGTGAGGGCTTTGGTTGCATCCAGAGGAGCTGCAATGTGCCATCTAGTGGGGATGGGGTGGAGGGAGAAAGGGCAGGGAATCAGTTCTCCAAGGAGAAGGAAGATCTGGCAGCAACAATAAATTCAGGTAGGTCGAGGAGCTATTAATTTTCAGACTTCCCTTGCTGGCTTTGATGTGAATCAGTTTAATCCACAGAGTCTTTTCCTTCCAATGCCAAACTTCATTGCTCCATAATATCCCCAAATCTATTCTGTGTGTTCAATCCCCCAAAACTCACCTGTTCCATTGTTGCCTCGTGAAGTTCATTCAAATTCAAAGTATAGATCCCTTCTTCTGTGCCAAAGATGATGTACTGGTCTGAAAAACAGAGAGAAGTGGATTATTTCCTAAGCTCATCACCAGGTTTAAAAGACAAACCTAAAGTAACTTTACAAATTGATTATTTCCCAAGCTTTGGCAACACAACAGGCAGGTTTCGAACACAATCCTAAATAACTTCACCTTTAGTATCTGGATGTATCCACGATGTTGCACAGTTGATCTTCAAAGGACAACCATCAAAGACTTTGGAAAAACATGCTCCCATCTGAAAGACACCAAAACTGAAACCTGAAACGAATTTAGAGTATAAGGAGTTTATTTTCTGGCACCTGGCCACTCACACACACCTGCAGACACCACTGCTCTCCCTTGCCACACACAGACTTCCCCTAAAATGCCTGGATGCAAAACACTGGGACCTTCCCCAAAAGCTACAGCCTTCCAAAGCTTTTTGTAGACTTCAAATGCATTAAGAAATGTAAAAAAGGGGTCGAAATTATATCAACAACTTCAAGTACCTATTGGGTAAGAACAATATACCCTGGAGGGATTGGAAAGCCGTGTGGATGTGGCACTTGGGGACGTGGGTTAGTGGTGGCCTTGGCAGTGCTGGGAATAGTTGGATTCAATCTTAAAGGGCTTTTCCAACCTAAATTATTCTATAATTGTACTTATGAATATTAAATGTTTAAATAAATGGCACAGTGAAGGGAAAACAAGCAGGAATTGAAGCAGTGATGCCCTCCCATCACTACCACCTTTTCCCATTTCTCTTCCTAAGCAGAGATCACGACTCAGGGAGCCAGGGAAGCCTCCAACCCTCCACGTCCAGGCTGAATAGTGACAGGAAGGTTTTAAAAAGAGGGAACAAATATTGTGTGCTCAGCACAGGAGAAATAACGGGCTGTGAGGTGCAGAAAATCCCCCCAGATGAGCTGGTGCCTTATTCCAGTAAAAACCTTCTGACACTGGAGAGGGAAGGCTCTGATAACTCCCAGTGCAAACGGGATTTCTTACCAGCACCTTCGGAGTCGGAGGCAAACCATTGATGGCTGGTTTCTGTGGGAAGAAACAAAGATCATAAAACACCTCCCACACACTGACACAAACCCAGCCTGTTGACACAGCCAGATCAGCCCCAGAGCCACAATACCTACAGGGAAATCTCTTTTCTCCTTTTTCCGTGGGAGCTGAGGGATTTGTCCGGACCCTTCCACGTTTTCCTCGATGAGTTTCAGCATCCCATTCCCATTGCCTGCAGAGAAGCCCAGACACCTTTTGTAGCTTATCTGACCCAGTGGAACAGAAAATCTCTTCTCCCCTGTGCCCAGCAGGAGTGGAGAAGTGAGCTCTGACACTTCCATATCCACATCCCAGGTAGCTGAAACCTTCCCAGGACAACTGGCTGCTCTTGTCTGTGCTAAGTTACACACTTTCCATTATTCAAACACTCCCTGGGCCAAATTCCACTGAGAATAAAGCTGTGGCATTCATTGTTTTTCTCCTGTTCCTGCAGGCCACACATTAATGGGATTGGCTGGCTCAGTGTCCTTGTTTTGGGAAGAACATTCCCACCATGTGTCACGGCTCTAATAAGAACCAGCACACAGGGAAAAAGGAAAGCTGCCCCTCATGATCAGTTGTGTTAAAAAATTATCTCTGAAAACAGTTGGCTCTGGAAGCAATTCCTTCTCCAGGATGCCAGTCACCTTCAGGAAAGGTCAGGCATTTACCCAGGTCGCTGTATCTGGCTGTGAGCAATCCAGGGCTGCTGATGCTGCTGGTCATTCCAATGGGGCTGGAATCAGCCTGAGGCCCACAAACTGGGATACTCTGTCTCCTGTGGGCTGGTGGGGCTCTGTTCTGTGAGTCTGGGAAATGTTTTATTGTCTGGCATCTCTCATCATCTGGGAGGTTTTCCTCAGGATAACTGTTTATTCTTGGCTGCAAGAAAGCAGAGGTGATGGTTACTTGGGAAATACAAGGAATTGGGAATGGCACCTGGGAAGCACAAACTTCAGACAAGTTTCATTCAAGTCAGACTTTCTACATTAAAAAAAAATATCAGCCTTTGAAAAGTGCATCACAAAAGCTCTCTGGTGTCCAGTGACAGGACCCAGGGAAGGGCAGGAGCTGTGCCAGGGCAGGTTTAGGTTGGATCTCAGGAAAAGGTTCTTCCCCCAGAGGGTGGTTGGCACTGCCCAGGCTCCCCAGGGCAGTGGGCACGGCCCCAAGGCTGCCAGAGCTCCAGGAGGGTTTGGACAATGCTCTCAGGGACAGGGTGGGATTGCTGGGGTGTCCTGGGCAGGGCCAGGGGTTGGACTGGATGGTCCTTGGGGGTCCCTTCCAACTCAGCACATTCTATGATTCTATAAAATAAAGACAACTGACAGCAGAATAATTTCAGAGGTGTTCCTCCCTGATGGAAAATCAGAGGCAGAACGCAGAACAGGAGGCCATCCCAGGCTGCCCAAGTTTTAGGGTTTGCTGCCTAAACCCCTTAAATCCCACATCTCTCACCTTGGGAGGCAGCGGAGGTGGCCCCGCTCGCTTTAGGGTCGACCTGCAATGGAAAGGGCAGTTGTTGGCTCAGTTAAACCAAAACCAGAATGAAAACCAGAACTACTTGACAAGACAGACTGGAAATAAGATCAACTAGAGGCAAAGAAGAGGCAGATCAGAGCTTTGCACACACGGGGTTAAACTGGAAGTCCAAGAGCAGGGGAAAAGCACATTAATCTCATTTGAAGTGTTGGTTTGGGATATGCTCATGTTCTTTCATAAATGTCAATGTTACTTGTTACAGAGCATTCTGTGGGGAAGGAGATTTGGAGTTAGTAAATAAATATACATTCAGAAACTGGATCTCAGGCTAGAGAGGAACTCTGGACAAGGGATGGAGGGACAAGGGGGAATGGATTCCCACTGACAGAGGGCAGGGGTAGATGGGATATTGGGAAAGAATTTTTGGCTGTGAGGGTGGGGAGGCCCTGGCAGAGGTTGCCCAGAGAAGCTGTGGCTGCCCCTGGATCCCTGGAAGTGTCCAAGGCCAGGCTGGATGGGGCTTGGAGCAACCTGGGCTGGTGGAAGGTGTCCCTGCCCATGGCAGGGGGTGGCACTGGATGAGCTTCAAGATCCCTTCCAATCCAAACCATTCTGGAATGCTGGGATTGCAGCTTGCAGCCTTCACTCTGAATCAAACATTTGGGCACCAGAGGAGCTGCACCAGAGCTCTACAGGATTATCTGCACATCCTGTCCCAGCCAGGCCTGGCTCATGGCTGATGGATTAATCAATATAAAATCTGCTTTAGAGTATCAGGCACTTCCATATGGACTCTGAGATAACTTCAGGAAGGAGAGCAAGGAGGGAAAGCGTGGCTTTGGACATTCCCCTGAGGATCAGGGAAGGAGTGAAGCTTGGAGAGCAGCCAGCCCTCAGTTAATGGTGAGTGGCAAAGCTGCTGCAGCAGTTTGAGGGGAGAGGTTTTGGAGCAAACACAACTGTGCAGGAAGGAGATCCACTCACTCTTCAACATCTTCACTCCCATCGCCAAATTTTGTGAGCAGTCCCCTAAGGTAAAATATTTATACAATTAAGAGCTCTGCTCTAAGGTGCAACTAAACCCATCCCTGATGGCACTGAGTTTCACAACAGCCTTTTCCAAAACAAACATTTCTGTTATTCAGACCTTTTTCCATTCAGTTTGGTCCTTTCCTTCCCCTTACCCCCCAAAAATCACTGGATCTCTCTTCCACACCAGACACCATCAGCTTTCTTTTCCCTACCTGCTATTTTAAATATTATTGACATGTCTAACAACAGTACAACATAAAAGAAGAAAAAAACAACAGAGGAAGTTACTGGGAGACAAATGGAGAAAAGCCTTTTAAAGGGAAGTTTCCATATATATATATATACATATATATATATATACACAAAAGACACAGACTGTTTCCCACCACAGTGGGAATTTTTGTTTCAAAGCTACCCCAGGGACAGCAAAAAAAGGAATTGTGACTAGAGGATCAAAGCAGCACTGAAAATATAACCCTGAAACCAACAAAAAAAACTGATAAAATTTTGCAAAATGGCAATTTTCAAGTTGGGTCTTTAAAGGGTGACGACCAAGAAAACCCAGCAAAGTTTGGATTAATGTAAAATTTCCCTGCAAGTCACTTCTGAGGGAAAGCAGCAACTGCCAACAGGAACTACTAAAAATTTAGAAGAGAAAAAGTCTTTCATTTTGAAAGGTTCTTGTTGCCCAGAGAAGCTGTGGCTGCCTCCCTTCCCTCTAAGTGTTCCAGGTTGGACAGGGTTTGGAGCAACCTGGGATAGTGGAAGGGGCTGGGATGAAATGGGATTTAAGATTCCTTCCAATCCAAGCCATTCTGGGATTTTATGAAAATCATAAATAAAAAACACCTCCATAATGCAGAAAATTTATACAAAAAAAGGAATTTTAAAATGCCACATTGAGAAAAACAAGGAATAAGTTTGATCAGCAGGTAACACATCCTGGTATTCCTCCTTTCCAGTCAAGTAATTCCTGAGCTGAAGATCAATCACCACTCACTCCATAAAAGCCAAAGGGCATGAAAAGCAAGGACCACCCCCCCCAGCAAACATCCTCTCTGGACATCCCTGGGATTACTCAGAGTTGCTGGGACAGAGGAGTTATGCATTTCCTGTTTATCTTTCCAGCTGGAAGTGGTTTCCAAGTAAGCAGCACGGATTCACCATCCAGAACTGTCCTGCCTGTCCTCCTCCCAACGCTGGATCCGTGTCCATGTACTCATTTATAGCCCTGGAAAGGTTTGCTGTGGCCACAGTTGTTGTGCTTTAACACAGCCTGGCACAGGCAAAGCCACAGGAACAGAATCAAGTCCCTGAGTCCCTTTGCCAGGGGGAGCTTCCCTCCCTCCCTCCCTGCTCTCCTCGACCCTGCACATTCCAGCTGTCTGCAGAAAATCCAGGCTTCAGCTCATCAGGGTCACACAAACAACCCCAGAGAGGGAGGAAGGGGAGGAAAACAGTCCCTGGCTTTCCTGGGCAGGGAGAGGCAGAGCCCAGAGCCCCCCAAATGCCTCCTATGATGGGATTGAGAACAAAAAAACAGGTCAAACTTCAAAAGACTCAAATCCTGGCACACTCCACACCCCCATGAGCTTTCCAGGGGGCTGTAGTGTCAGCTGACAGCTTATGCAAGACTTTATCTGCAAAAAACAAGCCAAAGAAATCCACTGTCTGCTGCTCAGCTCCAAATAAAGATGGGAAACAAGCTCTTTTAGCTGAGAAATTATTTCAGCCCAAACAGCACCCTTCCCTATGCCTGTGCATCACTTGGCATCACTGAACTTCCCCACTCCTCACTGCAAATCCAGGGAGTGCCTTTAAAGGCAGGATTCCCTGGTTTGCAGCAAAAGGAAGGTACATCCATAATAAATTCAATCCCAACTTGGACAGAGTTGTGCTCCTGTACTTCAGACCTGCTTTATCCAGGGGGAGATCAGCTACAGCACATCTTTGCCTAAAACACTTCCCCCCAAAACACCCCATGAGTGAATTACAGATCCCACTGATCACAGCCCCAGAGCAGGAGGAGCTGTGCAGTTGGACTGTTGGTAGAACTAAACCTTCAGAGCTGGCCTCTCCTTCCCTTTCTCGAGCTCAGGGCTGTGAACAGGACTTGTCACAGGATGTCACAACCACAGCCACGGCTCAGAAGAGAAGTGTGAGCCCAGAGCAGGATCCTGAACTCAGCAAGGTCACCAGCTCTGCCTCAGCAAACTGGCTGTGGCTGTGTTATGTCAGAGTCCTGCTCATGCATTTACACTTCACTTGCCACCTACAAACTTCAAACAAGCTTTCTGTTGGTGCTTAAAAGAGATTAAAACTCATCCTCCAAGAGAACTGACCAGAAGGAAAACTTCACACTGGGTAACATCTCCTTAATTCATGAATATTAAAGTCCATCAGGGCTTATGGTTTGATTTTTCCACCACAATTTCAGTGTAATTTCACATCAAGTGACAGACACAAAAGCTGGTTTTATTCTGTACTTACTTGTTGCTTCCACCATCAACAAAAGGATTCCAGTGTGAAGCAAAGTCACTGCCAGCTGCCACAACCTGGAGATGCAGAAATTGTCATTTTTTAACCCCCCTTGTCAAACTGAAGTACCTTATCCATCACAAACAAAAAGGCCTGGGAGGTTCCCCAGCCCTGCAGAACGATCCAGAAGCAGTAAAATCAAATTCCAAAGTGAAACAACATTTTACAATCTCTAAAGCAATTTTTCATCATCTTAGACTTCAAAGCAGCAGCTGGAAATGGTGGAATGTCAGGATCAAGTAACAGGAAAGCAAAAATTTATGGTGAAAACTCAGTAAGGATCACTTAGGGAACCTAAAACAGGGAACTTAGGGAACTTAAAAGACATTTTTCCAGCAAGCTGCTTAAGAGCTGAACCATAAAACAGTGAAGACACTGTGATTTTAATAAATTAAGTTAAAAATAAACTTGTCCTTACCATTTCATCCCGAGCTTCCGTTTCTTTCCGAAGAGGGGGCTCAAATTGCAGCTTATCAACTGCAAAACATCACATTTTCATAATTAATACACACAGCATTGCACCAGGGCTCTTTCAGTGCTTACTACAGTGAAATGCATGTTGTAACAGATCTGAGTATTGTGTACACAACATTTAATTTGCCCGTAAAACATCAGCCTTGTTGTCTGAACGCTTAAATCTGCACACACGAAACCCACAAGAAAGCCCAAAGGTAAATACCAAGTCACTGTATGAAGGCACACTCAAATGTAACTATTTTAACCACGTGCCACTTTTAAATGCATGGGAAAAAGAAAGAAACAGCAAGTCTCCCAGAAGTGTGATGTACGTGATGCAGAGGAGCCACAAAAGACTTTTTTGTCCCAACCTGGAGGAAACCCAATTCTACCCTCAAAATTTCAACTTAAAACTTAAGTGCATTAATATTAATTTGGGGGTTGAAAAGCTATGACTGAAGATTCACAGGCAGGAAGCTGTTTCTCCTGGGTTTGCTTTCCAAATGGGAAGAGGTTTTGCAGAGCGCACAACAAAAGGATGCCGCCGACGTCCTCCAGAAGGATCCCCCCACCAAAACCAGACTTCCCCCCCCAAAAAAAAGGGGCAAAGCCCCCCAGGAACTCACAGTTTATCTCTGAGGCTGTTCTCTCTGCCCTGATGTTCCTGTTGGTGGAGCGGATGGTGTGGCGGATGACGGAGTGAGGCTGGGAATGGGAGAGGGGAGAAGAGCTGGAAACGCTT